AATATCCAAGGTCTGTAGTCATTTTCTTTCAGTCCAGTCCCTCTGGTTGAGGAAATCCTGGTTAGCATTCCTTTGTGAAGTAGCATAATATATATTTCTTATTAATAGGTTTTAGAGGATCCTAGGAATTTTAATGCTGGCTTCAGTGATGTGCAGCTCCGGAAGGACTGGTCTAAGGTAAATGGAATCCGTAAACCCAAGAGGCACAAGACATAGGTGTGACAGGAATTATAGAAAGAGCAGTAACTCACCTGGGAGTGGCCTGGGAGCGAGTGGGGAATGCTGTCACCAGCCCTGAGATAAAGCGACTCTGGAAACATCTGCACTTTATGTAAAAGAGCGATGTGATTGCTCAGAGCTCCAGTATGAAGCTGGAGATAGGCCTGTTGAGAGTCTCTGGGATAGGGTCAGAGGGGAGAGCAGCAAGGGTGATGTCGTCATGGAGGTCTGCTGCAGACCGCCAGATTGGGAGGAAGTGGTGGATGAGGCTTTCTTCAAACAGCTAGCAGAAGTTTCCTGATCACAGGCCCTGCTTCTCATGGGGACTTCAATCACCCTGACATCTGCTGTACACTTTATTTGCAAAGGGTTTAAGAAAAGGAAATGAATTAATACATGACTGATAAACTGTCAGAAACTTATTCACACCCTCCATCAATAACGTGTACGATGATGGCCTCTGATGATGTGTGTACGCAGGTAGCCTGAATCGGATGCCTGGGGAGGGGGAACTGCTTCTGTGCCCCTCCCGCCTGAAGCATGGGTGATCCTGCTGTGAGGGTCTCCCAAGGTGCACCCCAGGGGTTGCTGTGCTGCAGGCAGGTGCTCCCTCGCCGAAATTCCTGTAAAATAGCTTATACTGTCCAGATCCTCTTACCCTGGCGCACAGGGAGCAGGGGCTGGGCTGGATCTCTGGAAATCTCCCCTGCCCACACCCACACACCCCCACTTGCCAGGCAGCTGAAGTTGACCCCTCCCTTGGGTCTTAACTCTTCTCCCAGGGTCCCTGCCTTGTGTGAGGAGGGCTAACGTCCCCTAGCTCTGCCTCCCACATGCCCCTGGGGCCTTCCCAAGTACCCCCAGGGGTATGTGCATCTCTAATCCATCTCATGCCACACAGGGGCTTGGAGAAGAGTCCTCCTCACTAGAGGGGCTCTAGAAGGGTCGGGTGCTCCTCCAAGCAGCTAGGCAGGGCTCCCAGGGGAAAAGGAGCAAGAGAGGTGCTGTGGCTGGACTTCCCAACCCTCCAGCCTACAGCACAGCCCACACTTTCCTCAGGCTCTGGCAGCTCTGAGCAATGGCGACGCATGGGGCATGCATGAGGGTGCACATGCACCCCCTGACAGCGCCAGTGCACACCCTGTCAGGCTGCCCTCCCTGTTTAGCCGGCAGGCAGGGGGACAGGCAGGGCCAGTGCCCCTCCCCTATGAGTGCTGGCTGGGGAGCGGGGCTGTCAGCAAAAGTGGCGCAGAAGCTTTTTGGTGAGTGAGATTGGCCGCTGGGGGACTTCTGGAAGCAGTGCAGTCTGCGCGATTGGCCACCGGGGGAGCACCCCACCACCCCCCGGGCAGTGGGATTGGCTGCTGGGGGTCCACTCCTCTGGTCAGCGTGATCAACTGCCAGGGTACCCCAGCCCGGTCACTGACTGGTGTTAGTGGGGGCATGTGCTCCCCCTGACTCGAGAGGCACCAGTCACCCATGGCTCTGAGGATGGGATGTCGTACCCAAGCTCTCCTTCAGCCTTTGGGCTTCTCTCATGGCTCTCCTTTTCCCCAAGACAGCTGCTTCCAGAGCGGGCTTCATCTCCCCTTATCGCATGATCTCTGAGGCCTTCATTTGCCTTTATCACATGGTGTCCAAGGATCCATGTTGTCCCACGCCGCTGCCTGGCTGAGTTCACCATGGGACCTTATTCTCTGAGGTAAGGTGATTTCATTGTTTGTTACACAGGTTTTTAAGACCTGGTTAGACAAAGCTTTGGCTGGGATGGTCTTGCTTTGAGCAGGGGGTTGGACTAGATGTGACCTCCTGAGGTCCCTTCCAAACCCTCGTTGCCTATGATTCTATGCCGGCAGCTCCATAGGTGTGCCAAAGCTTGATTGAGGAGCTCCAGCTGCCTGGAGTGGTTGTCCCAGCCATGCAGAGCTGAGTGGGCCAGGACTGACTGGCCCTTAAAGCCAGCAGGCTAAATGCTGCTGGGAAGGGGAAAGAAGGTGAGGAAGTTGGTGAGTAAGCACCACACCCAAGTTGTCTCTCCCTGTATCCATAGAGAGGGGACCAGGTGTATGGTTTGGGGATTTAAGGGATCCAGACAGAGAGAGGAGGCAGAAAAGCTGAACCATGCAGCCGATTCGGTGGCTGAATCTCTGAATCGAATCGGAGGACCCTTTAATCTCTCCGACTTGATTCGGACCCCTTTGAATCGATTCAGGCAGATTCAGACTTAGATACAGCTTTAAACGATTTTTCTACATACTTCTAGGTAGCAGGGGCTCTGAACCCTGTGGTGCTGGGGCAGATGCAGCATCCCACAGAAGCATGGGGATCGCTCCAGTGCGCTCAGCAGCAGACCCGGAAGTGGACCAGAAGCACTTCTGCTCCACTTCCTGGTCCAACGGGGAGTGCGCTGGGGGCCCCCCCGCACCTCCCCAGCTCAGCGACTGGTGCCTCCTGGGTCTGGGGGAGGCACCTGGGGTCCCTCTGCAGCTGATCGCCTAGCTGGGGGGCTGGGGGGCCCTGGCAGACTCTGAAGTGGACTGGAAGTACTTCAGGGGATTAAAAGACCTAGCCCCCCAATGGGGGTTCAGCCCCCACACAAGGGGTTTGCCCCAACAGGGGTTTCGGCCCCCACACAAGGGGTACGGCCCCCCAGCAGGGGACAAATGGCCCCTGCAGGGGCTACCACCCCCCCTGCAAGGCCCACATGCCCTACCCCAGCCTCCTGATGGCTGCCCCACCCCACAACTTGCACCCCCAGGCCCCCAAGGCTGCCCCCACAACCTCAGGCACCGTCACTTACAAAAAAAAGA